CATGGCCATTGCATTGCTAATTATGGTCACTATTCACTAAATTCAACTAATGTGAAGCTTCAAGAAGTGAAGAAAAAAGTTTATAAGCAATGAAACAGTCCTCTAAATAATTTGAAAGTCAGTTTAAATGTCGAGTTAAGTTCAAGGAGATCAAATTTGAGGCTTAGTTCAAGTAAACATTAAGAAGCAATCTATAGAGAACTTTTGAGGGCTTTTTCAATTCACTCAGTCGTGGTTAAATTTCCTGGACTAACAGACCTGCTTGAGTGGTTTGATTGCTGCACATGTTGTGTTTCCTAATGGTGCCCTTAGTGTTTTTTTTTTTTCAAAGAGGTAGGACCTTTCTGCTCTTTTAGAAAAGAGCAGATAACTATAATATGGGAAAGATTAGATGAACTATCTCCTCAGGAATGAAAATAGTCTTCTTGGAGCAGCTAGAAACAGAGTCAAAACCAAGTATCACGGGAAATTTGACTTTCATGTACTAATATTACCCTATGTGCAGGACAATTGGTAATACATTTTTAAAAGTCTATGAGCTGGGGGCTGGGAATTTAGCTCAGTGGCATAAGCACCTGCCTTGCAAGCAGGCAGTCGTGAGTTCGATCCCCGGTACCGATAAAAGTCTATGAGCTGACTATTCAGCAAAGCCAGAAAAATTGGAAAAGTGGGGAGATATTTTTACTCCTCAGGTTGCCTTGGGGAATAAGAACCCAAAGAGATACTGTGGTAGCATCTGTACAGAAAATAGTAAAAAGGTTCTGTGGAGCCAAATAGCTCTGAAGCATCCCGGGAAACTATGTCAGGATTAACGGGCAATCCTGAGCCTGAGCTAAGAGACTCAAGTTTTCCCAAACCAAGTGTCTAAGGGGGAATATTTAACTGGATTGTCCTGGAGTTCTTAGTTTGAAAAACTGGAATGTGATTATGAAAAGATCCCTTTTTGGGAGATTTTTGTTTTTTTGGCACTGCTGCTTCTGTCATGGACAAAAGCCAGAAAAAAATATCTTCACATTATTTGAAGACTCTAGGTTCTCATAAAAAATTCAATGTCAGTTTGATTCTACAAGCTATAAAGTTTTGGCTCGTGCAATGCTATGGGTTGTTAAGTAATATTAGGCCAGAGACTTAGCCTGCATTAGTCCATGAAAATGCTCATAACAAAAGTGAGGAAGTTGTTCTAAGCGAGGAGGTAGTTCTAAGAGCTTTAAGGACAAGGAAGGCAGACGTCTGCTCATGATGCTCTAGGCATTCATCTAATATAGAGGAGTAGGATGCTTTCTACTATTTGAAAAATCACAAAGAGAAAGACATTAAGGAAAGACTACAGTATAATAGCATGACATGAAATACAAATTAGGAGTTAAGATAAAAAGGATAGTAAAGAAAACCACTGTGTTGAATTTCATTTTTTTACAAAAAAATTGTTTCCTATCATTTCTAAAACAAACGGCTCATATCAATTTTTGAAGAATTATCTCTATTTCATTTTTAAATTAGCCAACAGTTGGAGTAGAGTTGTGGGGGGTAAGAGCAGCACCCACACAAGTTTTATCTAGTGTCTAGTATCCTAAATAAAAATAGAGAAATAAATGGGGTAAAAATTTTCACTGAACAACTGTGCTTACTCTACGTGATCATACTTTCTAGTTCCTTGAACTCAGGTTCGGCATTCGAGAGGATGTACAATCCCTCTCAGTAATTCCAGGCGCTGTCCCTTCACCTGGACTTTGGTCTTCAGTCACCCCAGGGCTCATCTCCTGTATTCCTGTTTCAGTGCTGCTCAGTATTCCTGCTCAGGCTTAGGACGCTGGTGACCAAGTACTCTGCGGGATCCATCTTTCTAACTCTCAGCCCTGCTCCTCTGTGCCCTGTGTGCTTGCTTGGTTCCTCCAGCCCCCGGGGGCTTTTCCAGGCTTCTTCTCACTGTATAATGTTCAATTTGCTTCTCTCTTCCAAGAATGACATAGATAACATTTTCCTTGTCCAAGATGACTCTTCTTGTCACCTACTGTCTTCTCTGTGACCCGTTGATGGCACTGAGGGTGCCCTCACTTCCTTACATCATCAACTTCTCTTTTTGGGTCGATTAATCTCTCAAGGATTTCATGTTTTAAGCAAACAAACAAACAGAATATTTCTGGATTCCACAAATGAAGTCTATTAAACACTTTATAAAAACAGTGTTATGCTTTCAATAGTCTTTAAAGACTCATGGTGAAATTTAGCTGCCATTCTGATGGTGTTAAGAGGTGGGGCCTTGGAGAAGTAACAGGCCCTCTGGCCTCTGCCCTCACAGTAGCAATGCTGTCATGATAGAACTGGATTAGTGATTGCAGGAGTGAGTTTCTGATTAAAAAGGATGAGTTTGGCTCCATTTTTCTGTCTCATCCATACTTGTTTGCCCTTCCACCATGCCATAATGCAGCACAGGGGAACTTTCTGGATGCTGATACCATACTCTTGGAATTCTTAGCCACTAGAACCAGGAATCAAATAAACTTCTTGTAGTTATAAATCACCCAGCCTATAGTATGTGGTTATAGCAAATGAAAACTGGACTGAGACAAGCACCTTATACACTTCCAGTCCATCTTCAATTAGTCCACTTAGTACTGGCTCTAGCCTTGATTTTGTTCCTAACGCACTATAGAAATTGCTCTCTTACAGGCTTTCTTTGTTTTGTCTTTAGTATTCAACCACTTGGAAACATTTTTTTCCCACTGAACATCTTTTAGGAATTCTCTCTTTTATGGTATCTTTTGTGGTTTACCTGATTCTGCATTCTTTTCTATTTGAATGCAAAAATTCAATGCTTCCTTCTCTCATCATACTCTGTACTCCTTACCAAAAAAACTGCTTTCAAAATTTCAAACTTTGTGTTTCTAGGGCATGAGTTTTGACTTCTTTCCCAGATAAAAATATCCTTTGTCTAGTTTGATGTTTCATTTATAATTAAGCTTGCAAGTCAAACTCAGTAGTGGCCCTAAATCGAATTTATTATTTTATTCTCCAAAAACTTCTCCCAACTGTATTATTACTGATAATGACATTAACCAGTCTTCTAGAAGCTTCAGTGTTCATTTTGCATTCAGCAAACATGTAATGCGTGCTTAATATGTGTTAAGGACAACAGTTCTGGGTACTAGGGATAAAAGGGCAATTGGGATTAATAAGACTCTTGTCCTCATAAAATTTATATTTTAAGGGAAGGAGACTGAAAATAGAATAATCAAGTAAGTCCACTTTTGCTAGAGAGAAATGCTATGAAGAAAGTACTGGATGAGTAACTATTTCAAAGGCTAGAGTTGGGCAGCAGGACACCCATGTTACACAAGACGGCCAAGGAAGCTGCTTTGGAGGTGGGAATCTGCACTGAGACTATAATAACAAAAACGCCAATCATGCACATGTTGAGGAAAGAACGTCTTGAATAAAAAAGGACTAAGCACATCACTAATTTCAAATGGTTGTTAAGCCATGCAGAGTGATGGTCATTTTGATCCCTCTTGAATCCATTTCCTCCTGGTCTAAGTGCCCATTACTTCTTGTGCGCCATGCCCTGTTCTGGTGCATCCTCCTCTCACTACGGAGTGATCCTTTGTAAAGTGAATCTTCACATTACATTCTCATTCTGAAGCCTCTAGTAACTGCCATTATTCATGGGAGCAGTTTAAACTTGGAAGACTATACTCATGCCTCTTCACAGTATGCTAATATGTGGTATGATCAAAAGACATGGTGAAAGTATAAACAAATAAAAATGTATTATAGTAAAAGACACATTGCTGTTAGTTCCTTTCAAAATACCCACCCCTTGCTTTGAACACACTTACGTCATCATCCTTGCCATTTTCTGAAGCAGTTATGGAAGTTCGCTTTTATGAGTATCTTTGCTTGTGCTCTCCTGGCTACCTCAGTGTCCTGATGTTTACCTTTCATAGTCCTTTTGACACTGGGAAGAACTAGGAGCTGCACAGCGCCAGATCCAGTGAATGGGGTGGATGAGATCCACTGCAATGCTTTCCATGCCTGCCTTTCTGTTGGATGTCACTGGCAGCAGCATTCACTTTTACTACATCTCATAAAATACTCACTAAAGACAACTCACAGAACTGCTTCAGAAAAGACAAGCACAATGGCATTAAAGTGTTCAAAGCAAGGCGGAGTACTTAGAGGGGGTTAGCGCAATGCGTCTTTTACTGTGATAAAGTTAACATTTACATATATTTTAAACATACCTCATTTAACCTTAAAATATTTTTCAGTTCTTGCATTTTGCTGTGCACAATTTATTGAGATCCATGTTCAGAACACATCTAAATATTCCTGCTTCCAAAGTTGCCTGTTATGTCTCCACCATTTGGATTGATTCTCTCCTAACAGCTAATATGGGACAGTCTAGGCCCCTGAGCCCTGTTTCAAATCACCTTTTCCTTTTAAGAACCTTCAGATTTCTCTGTTTTAATCTAGGAACAACTCTATTTCTTTCCAATGGCATTTGTCATATTTTGCCCTGGAATATGGTTATTGTACACATCTATCTTCCCTTTCTGCACCCCTTACTTTATATCAGATGTTGTAAGACAGTGACCACATGTTTTTATCTACGGGCTAGTGTAGTGCCTGAGGCACAGTTGGGATTGAGTAATCCATGCTGAACAGAATGAATCTGTCAAATCTGAGTTTGATTAGCTGATGTTTATTTCATGATGCCCTGAGTGTTTTCCCCTTTTATCAGTCTCCTTAGTCATCTCTCATGTGACCTCTATGTGAAAAGACAGAGAACAGAGGGGAAATAGAGAGTCCTTGTTTTGAAACAGTCTAGTTAGCTTCAATCTGGTTAACTGATTAAAACTTTGTATTGAGGAACTATAATTGTATAATCAATACAATATGAGATAAATAACTCATGGAAGCGTCTCAGGATACGTAAAATTTCTTAACACCTTCTAAGACTTAAAAAATACATTATTGCAATCAAACAACCGCATACTTACCACATTACTGCAAGTTCTGTATCTGATATTTCTTCCTTCACAGCTCCTAGGTTACAGAAAGAAAAAGAACTTGCATTACTACTTAGGAGAGGCTTTAAATTTTACAAGAAATAATTCTAAGTAAATTCTTATAGATGTGGCTATTAAATAACAAGCAGTATCTCTAAAGAAGTTGCATATATATTTGGATTCCTCTGTAAGGGTTGAACTGAATCATTCATTCTGCTTCAAAAAATTTAAAATAAGTATTACTACATGTTAAACCAAATAAATAGTAAAGAAAGATTTTCTGAAAAATATTTATTCTAAGTGAATCTTGTTTTCTAAGTTATTTCTGATATAAAACTGAAGAGGTAGTTTAATGAAAAAAAATCTTAAATATTGAATATGGTAAAAATTGGACTTAATATTTAACATGTCTTCTAAGGTATGAAAGGTCATGATTGTTGAACAGTTATTTCTATTTCTAAAACATATGTTCATTATAGAGGTTTTGAAAAAGACAGATTAAAAAAAAAGTCCCCTGTGGTTTCTCATGTAAAGATGATCACTGTTATTTTGATTTACTTATTTCTTTCCCATGCAGAGGAAATTACACCATTTGTACAATTTTGTAGTTTGTTTTCTTCTCCACTTCAAATTTTTTAGAAGTACTCTCCAAACTTTAAAGATACTACATTGAGGGCTATGTATTAAACTTTAAATAAACTTTAAAGATTAATAAACTTTAAGGATCCTACATTGAGAGCTCTATAATATTCATCAAATAATATCACAAATTTGAATAATTATTCTCCCAGTAGTCACTTAATATTTATAGTTTGATAAATGATAGTATAATAAACTGCCATTTAATAATAAACTATATAGTATATGTATGTAATAAACTATATATAGTATAGTAAACTAACATATGTTTTATTAGAGTTTCTGTGTGTTGAAAATGCATAAATTTCTAGAAGACGAATTGTTAAAGGGAATTAATTCTTGTAAGCTACTTGAAAAATATTGCTAAATTGTATTTCATGAAGGCTGTACCACTGTATAACAACAATAGACCACATAAGACTTTCCACTTTACTGAATTCTTATGAACAAAAACAATTAAGTTTTGATGAAACATTCAGTGATGATAATTCATGAATAACAGTATTTCACTTTTTTGAAATTAAATTACATTTTTCGAAAAACAATTAAAACTATTATGGAATTCCAAGAGACTGAAGATACTAAAAGCTAACAGTAATGGAATGCTAGATGTAACTTTAACTTTCCTTTGTTTATTAACTTAATTTTCTCAAAAATCATGAGAGATAAAATACTATCATTATATTCATTTTGTTGACCAGAAAACTGAACAGGTTACATATTGTACCAAAACCACCCAGCTATTAAATTGTAGAGCTATGAAACTAGGTCATTAGGGCCACAGAACTTACACTCATAATCATAATGTTTTAATGCTTCTTACTTCATTTTTTGGTTCAACAAACATTCACAGAGCTCTTGTTACATGCTGGGTAGTAAATTTACTTTGGGGAATACAAACAGTAATGAATATGACTTGGTCTTTGCCTTTAAGAAAATTAATCATAATTACAATCAGTGTACAAATACTACATGGTAGTGATGTTAGATCTTGAGAATACTGACCAAAAAAAAAAAAAAAAAAACCACCTGAAAACAGTTATACAATAGCTAACTTAGGCCCTAAAGATTTGCCTTTCACCATATTGGTTGTAGTAATACACATTAAAATTAGAAAAGGAAGGCCAGTCAGGTGTTAGAATTACAGTGAAAAACAATAGACAAGAACTAAATTGTTGTCAAGGATTGATTCAGCAATGCCTTAAACACATGCCCAACGAACTTTAAGTCTTTTAGGACCATTGAAAAAGTTCTTCTATGTTGATAACAGATGAGTCATGCTAACCTAGAGAAGTCTAAAAAATATTTCACTTATATGAGAAACATTCTTCATTACACCATATCGACTATACTGCTTGCCACAAACAATCTATAATTTTGTGACAGTCAAAAGGTATAGGGCTGGACATGCTGACATGAGTATGCTGGTCCATATGATGAACAATTCTATTCCTTGCTGTGAATTAATAAATAGGAATCCCAGTTTGCAAGATCTGCCTCACAGGCCAACTCATTGTGAATCAGTTTCCCAAAGGAGAATCTGGGCTTTGCTGAAAAATAAGAAGTTTCTGAGTCTGAAAATATGAGCCAGGCTTCAGATTCCAGTAAATTGACACAGTAATCAATTCTACAACTGTGACCTTTGGTACCACATTCTAAAGACACCGGTATTTACTGAATATAACAGACTTTTCCATTGTGAAGTTGCTGGTGGTCTATAACTAACACAGTGCATGGTTAAAAATGTCCTCTTAGAAATCAAACTCCTCTTTCTGGACTCAAGACCCACATCTTGGATTGCATATTTTTTTTTCAAAATGAGATATTTATTTCCTGAGATTATTATGAAGATTAGGTTAATTAGTAACTGTAAATCACATCACAGAGTGATGTTACTAGTGCATAGTAAGCAATATATAAACATTTGATAAGTAAGTGCATAATAGATATAAAAACATAAATATTGAAATATATGTAAGAAGATATGGAAAAGAAACTATAAGAAAGACAGAGGCATAAAACATTTGGAAAATATTGAGCAATTCTATTTCTTTTGGAACTGAGGATTTACATTGGGAAAGCAATACAGAGAAATACTTTTTAATTATGAACTTTGTAATAAGTAAAGGAAAACTCTTGAGGGTTTTAAATAGAAAAGATACAATGATTCCTACTTTAAACAAATAAATACTGGTGTTAATTACTAAGACTATACTATTCTCTTTCCCACCTTCTTTCTATTTCCTTTTTCTAAACTCGTGTCCATGAAAATTCTGAATTAGTAGTTTGAAGGCAAGGGTTATAGATTCTGCTCGTCTTGCAGAAGTCTCTTGCCCTTTCAGACCCCTTTGTTTCTTCATTTGTCAAATGGTTATACGACTGTTAGGGCACATAGTTGTGATCAACAGCTGTGTACAAATACTCTATTATACAAATACTCTAATGTACAAATACTCTATTAATTGATGAGTTATTATAGAGACATCAGTTACAAAAGAAGATAGAAAATTACCACCTTCAAGGATTTAAATTAGCTTTTCCTCAGGTATTTTAAAGTATAAATACATAGATTCTGCAAATTGAAAACAGGCGATAAGAACATATAAAGCAAAAGATTGATTTAAAATTTCCTTCTTTCGGAAAAACAAAACAAAACAAAACAAAGCCCCAAGAAAAAACACTTGTCATATTTTCCAAAGTAATCCTCCAATATCTAGCACTCAATATTAATTTTTTGTGCTCCTATATTATCTTCCCATTATTATATCATATTATTGAGAGCCTAATTTGTCTAAAATTTGATGTTTAAGTGGTAATGCTTAAGTTTGGAAAGGTGTTCTTTACTGAAACTGAGGGCGATAATGAAAATACTATCCTCTCTATATATTCAGGGCCTACTGTAAATCTCAAGCCTACTACTAGGATATTATCTCTAACCTTCCAAGAACTCTGCAAAGTTTCCATATTCCCATTTATTAGATGAAAAAAATGAGGTCAAGAAAGAAAATGAGGCTCACAGCTATGTGTACAGAAAAGCGAACACTAGGAATTTGGAACCTGGGGTTGATTAACTCCAAAGCTTACAAAGCAATAATAATAATAAAAAAAAGATTTGCCTGACATGTAATGTACTAACATTAGACTAAAAATCCGGGAAGCTGAGCAAAGAGTTGGCCTGGGGCTTAACTGCATCTTATTGATACTATATCAATTTATCAACTGCTTCTCAGTTCTGGTAAATCCACTTCCAGTAAGGCAAACCTAGACACACACTGAAACATCTCCAAGAGAAACACACATCAGTAAGATGCAGTGTGGAAGGACTTCAATACAGGAAAAGGCTCATCAAAAAATTGAATTCATTAAATTTCATAATAAATTGTTCATTAGTAGCAGAATATTCCATCTCAAGGACTTAATTGCTGCCAAGTGGGAATCTTTTCATCCAAGGCATTTATAGGACTAAGCACAAAAGCCTCATTGGATAATTAATTAGCAAAACCTTTTCTCTTTCCTTCTTGTTTATTTTAAAATTTTATTAATGTAAAACAGCTGAGTTGGTTCCATCAATTTAAATAAATTAAAATCCACCTCTGCACATGAAAACCACATTAGAAACTAAAATCCTGGAGAGTGGTAAGGAAAGTCCTAGATGTGGGATAAACAGGGTTGAAGTGAAGGCACCCCCTCGAGCACACTGTAAGGTGACAGGAGAGTTTGTGAGTTAAGTACCATATGGTTTCGGACTCAGTTTCGGACTCAGCAACTGACCGAAGCCTGAAGGAACAAAATATAAATAGTAGGATACACTCTAACCTAAGTTTGTCCCAAAAATTACTTATTTGTTTTATATTGCATTTCTATCTAATCACTTTATTTAGGTTTAATTTCTTTTTCCCAAAATTGAAAATCATTTCAGTAATAACTTGTTGTTTGTGAATTATTCAGACTTTAATTCACTTACATTGAGATTACTAAAGAATTCAGGCACACTTTGTCTCTAGTTAACACACAAGGAACCACTGAGACTATTCAAGGTCTTCAAATACTGATTTTATCTTAATTTCAATCATCATAATTTGGTAAACTTAGAAGAAGTAAATTGCTATGGAAGCTAACACTTTGAAGACTTTAGGAACTCATGGCCTCTTTTATCTTCTCTGCTCTTATTAAGTCCCTCACAAAGGGAGGTGTTTTTGATTTAATTCTTTTCTCTTAATATTCTTCTTACTGCCTCTCCATGCACACAGATCCTTCCAGTGACATTATCAGACTTATACTTCATGTCGAAGAATAGTTTCAAGAAGATCTGGTCGCTGCGTCCCAAAGAACAACTGTACTTGTTTTAGGTTCATGAAACCCCGACTTTGTTCACAACTTCTACACAGCCAGAAATGC